TTGACAGTATATATAATTTGACAGATTCTGTAAGAGAACTCAATCAATCAAGTATGTTTCAAAGCGCTCCAAAGCTCAAGACTTGATAAGTTTCTGCAAAGTAAATAAAATAAATTTGATGTTAGCAGTAAGACTTGATTTTACATTAAGGTATTATTTAAACAAATCAATAAATATGATACCAAGTTGCGCAAGTAATACACAATGAAAATAAGGTAAGTTATTAATAAAAAAATTAACAAATTACAAACATGGTAAATTACACTTAAAATCGTGAAGTAAATACTATTGTGATTGAAATTATGCAACCAATGTAATTTATTATTAAAAATTAACTAACTGAAAAATGAAAATATTTAAAAGGTGGGTTATATGTGCTAATAATGGTGATCTTACAACATTAAGATACCTATTATATTTTCATAAATTGGTCTGCAGTAAAGATGATATCAACTTGCCCAAGCAATCCGTAATCAATAGGTAAGTTATTAATACCAAATTAACTAAATGTAAATTATTTAAACAAAACAATAAATATGATACCAAGTTGCACAAGTAATCCACAATGAAAATAAGATAAGTTATTAATAAAAAAGTTAATAAATTATAAACATGGTAAATTACATTTAAAATCGTGAAGTAAATACTCTTGGGATTCAAATTATGTAACCAGTGTAATTTATTATAAAAAAAATTAACTAACTGAAAATATTTAAAAGATGGGCTATATGGGATAATAATAGTGATCTTACAACATTAAAATAACTATTATATTGTCATAAATTACTCTACAGTAAATATGATATCAATTTGCCCAAGTAATCCGTATATAATATAAGATAAGTTATTAAAACAGAATTAACTAAAGGTAAATTATTTTAACAAAGCAATAAATATGATACCAAGTTGCGCAAGTAATCCGCAATGAAAATAAGGTAAGTTATTAATAAAAAAATAACAAAGTACAAAAATGGTAAATTACATTTAAAATCGTGAAGTAAATACTCTTGGGATTCAAATTATGCAACCAGTGTAATTTATTATAAAAAAAATAACTAATTGAAAGTATTAAAAGATGGGCTATATGCACTAATAATAGTGATCTTACAACATTAAGATACCTATTATATTGTCATAAATTACTCTACAGTAAATATGATATCAACTTGCCCAAGTAATCCGTATTCAATATAAGGTAAGTTATTAAAACCGAATTAACTAACGGTAAACAAAGCAATAAATATGATACCAAGTTGCGCAAGTAGTCCGCAATGAAAATAAGGTAAGTTATTAATAAAAAATTAACAAATTACAAACATGGTAAATTACATTTAAATCGTGAAGTAAATACTCTTCGGATTGAAATTATGCAACCAGTGTAATTTATTATAAAAAAAAATAACTAATTGAAAATATGGCTATATGGGCTAATAACAGTGATCTTACAACATTAAGATACCTATTATATATGGGCTTATAAGATACTTGTTAATGTTTATGACGTAAATCACTACCAAGGCAAACAAAATGTTATTAACTCCAGATCTTTTAGTGGTCCAAAAGACTTACGGGATCACTACAGCATCAATGAGTTCAGAACAAATAAGCAGTACTGGATTTCCAGGACGAGTGAACAACTTGTATCCCGCGAGTTTGCAGTCACCTCATCTGTCCACTGTTGCCGACAATTGTGTTATATGAGAAACAATGAGTTCATTACAAAAAACAGAGTCTAAAGACAACATTACGTCAAACTAAGGTATTTGCACTTTGTTTGATACTTGAAGCTAAAATGAAAAGACTTACAAACGAAATATTACCTCAGGATCAGCTGCAATGGGTGTTAAAAATAATGTGGAACACAAGCTAAATCCTTCAAAAGCTCAAAATAAACATTCACCCTTCAGGTCACATTATACAAGAAAAGCGAATAAGAATTAGTAGAGTTGTGAAGCTTACCTCTTCAAGAGAACAAAATCGCAAGGGATTTGACGTCTCTGAGCTTCATGATCCGTCTGCAGAAGTTGGTTTTTGTTTTAAGACCTCTAGATTCACCTCTATATATATAAAGTGAATGTTCTCATATTAATGACGCCAATGTAATATTCTTACAATAAATAATGAAATTCTTTAAGGAAAGATATTAAATGTGTATTGTCATAAAATGATATGCATATGATATGATTTTAACTTGCGCAAGTAATCAATATTAGTAAGGTAAGTTAATAAAAATAAGTTTCCTAATTATATACAAATTGTTAAATGTCATTAAGAAATGTAATCAATATGATATCAAGAGTAAATGATTTACCGTATTTGTAATAAGGAAACTTATTAATACATGTATTAATTAATATTCTTGTGAAAGTAATATGTAATGAGGTTAGTAATTAGTGTTGCTTTCCTATTAGGTTGTCGATGATAAAAATAAATAATAAAAAAATTCTAAAAAAATCAACCAATAAAATTAAGAGAATTCTTCTGAGAAGCTCTGTATGAGTGTCATGTGGCAAATGTACTTCTCTTTTAATGTATAGGGGGATTTACTTAATTGTCATGTTCTCCATAATTTTAAATAATTTTATTTATTTATCATATTTTTAATATTTATATATATTTATTTATAAATAAAACGAATTTATATGAATTTATCATATTTTTAGTAAATAAGATAAATATATATTTTATTTATAAATAAAACGAATTTATATGAATTTATTTGTGAATGTGTTTACATTACGAGGAACAAAAGATTTAAATCGGCTAGGGCTTCTGGAGCGAATCTGGCGACCAACATGGCAATCTTCGAACCAGTGTTCATCAGCAATGATCTCCATTGATTCTTCGAGCTCCCCTCTCTCATCACGTCTGTTGGCGTTGGTGACCGGTGCAGGCTTTTGACGGCATGTCGTTTTTGTTTCATCATCACTCCTTGGTGTGGTGGAATATCGATCAAACCTCCGATCAATTCTCTGAATCAAAACGGAGATTCATAGTTACCAGATCTTCACACACGGAGCATATCAATATCGAATCCCAGTGCACTCGATCCATTGATCTTGTCACGAACGCACACTTACAATTCTTAGGGTTCTGATCTCATCGTCTCTCATCATTCATAGATGTGGGATTTATTTGACGATCTTGACACTCTCTCATCCTCTCTGATCACCATCCATCGTTTTTCCATCGTCTTTCATCGCGGCTTCTTGTTGATCACTCTTCTGGCTGTATCGGTTTTCTCCTCGGAATCTAAGCTTATACTCCGACAGTTTTTGATCTTTGATGTGTTAGGATCCTTTGATCTCCACATTGTGATCTGTTGCTACTAATATTTCTCTGCTAGAGTACTCTGTTTTTCCGTTTGAAAACAGAGTCGGAAGCAGTCGTTCAGTGTGTGCGATTGGTCGGAGCACAATTGACCCGTTTACTGGGCATTCTTTAGGTAATCACAAAGGCAAGGGGATCATGACGTTGGAAGAGGAAGAGCCTTTCCGGCTATTGGCTGATGAGAATACTCTAAGTGATTGAGGAGTTCAAACTCCCCTTGATAGGAAAGATACTGAATCTGAGGAAGCAGAATGTTGAAAAATTAATCAACTATATGCCTACGCAGTGGGGAATGCAGGATCGAATCACAGCGAATGACTTGGGCAACGGAAAATTCTTGTTGACTTTTACTTCTGAGGAGGATATCAACGAAGTGTTAAGCCAAGGACCTTTCCACTATAATTTCTGCATGTTTGTGCTAGTGCGGTGAGAGCCTATTGTACACGATGATTACCCATGGATTATTCCTTTTTGGGTGATTATAATTGGAGTACCTTTGCACTTGTGGACAATAAAGAATCTGCTTGTTTTCGGGGGAACTCTGGGGCGTGTGGATACACTTGAGCTTGAGGAGGGGAGAATGCTAATTGATATTGATACGCGCAAGCCTCTTAAGTTCACAAGAATGGCTACAAATGAGGAAGGAGATGCAGTTACAATCAAGATAACCTATGATCTTCTTTTTAAACATTGTACTACTTGTGGTTTTTTGACACATGAAAAGGACCATTGTCCTCTGAAACCAAAGCTTAACAATGTTTTCGAACGTGTTGTGGTTCCAAAAGAGGAGGATAGAAAAATGCCAGTACGTAGAGGCATAAACATGAGGCTTAATTTCCAGGACAACAACATACCAGCT